TCACCACCTGGTACCCAACCCCGATGACCATCCCCTTGTCCCTGTCCCAACCCCAGGTGCCTCGGGCCACCTCGGGGATGTCTCCCACCTTCTCCAGATAGTTGAACTCCATGGCGATCTCCCGGAAGAAGAAGTAGACGTGGCTCCTCCATTCCACAGCGTGCACGAAGTAGGGCTCTGCAGGGACAGTGACAGGGTCAGGGATGTCCCAGGAGAGTGTCAAAGGGGATGGGGACCGGTGCTGTGTGGCACATGGAGGGCACCACACCACGGGAGGCACCTTTGAACCATTTGGAGTCGTGTTTGACAGTGCGGAGGGTCGGGCTGTCCCCCAGGCTGCGGTAGATGACGGCGTCGATGGCCAGGAAATCCGTCACCGTGGCAGTGAAGAGCATCCCCCCTGCACAGGAGAGGGGCTTCAGCCGGGCGCAGGACGGGGACAGCGGGCAGAGTGCCCGGCACGGCACCGGCAGTGCCAGCGCTCACCTGTGAAGAGGGCCACGTTGGCGTGCTTGGGGTCATAGGGACACCGGGCCATGCCGCTGATGTTGTCCCCAACGGGCTCCAGTGTGTCCATCTGTAGGAGGTGAGACGGGGCCATCAGCGATGCCACACAGGCAGTGGTGGCCGGGCAGCCTCAGCGGCGCAGGCAGGAGCGTCCCCTGCCCGCAGAACCCGTCACCCAGGAGGGTGACACGGGGGGTCCGGGGGTCCCCGTCCCAGCGTGGGGTGGGCGACTCACGCTGTAGTTGGCACAGATGGGGTTGAAGGCGTTGGTGCCACAGACGAAGAGCAGGCTCTCGTTCCGCACCAGCAGCACCTTGACGAAGTTTCGGCACTCTGCCTGCGCCGGCGGGAGGGGACTGTCACCCCTCAGCATCCTGCCCCCCTCACCCCAGTCCGTGTGACACGGGGCGCAGAGGGTGCTCGCTCCCCACCCGGGGGGGTCTCACAGGGTGTGGAGCCCCCCCTGTCCCCGTACCTCATGTTTCCCCTTCATCCGGCAGATGCTGATGTCGTGCTGGTTCGAGCGCCACGTCAGCTTCTGCAGGGGGTGGAGAAAACCCAGTGTGGGGCTGGGCAAAAACCAGTCCCCCCCAGCACGCCCCCCCAGCACCTGGGGGCTTGGCACTTACCCGGTGGTAGCGCATCTCGCCGGCACCGGTGGGCTCCAGGCTCACACGGTAGATGTTGTCCCTGGGGAGGGGGACACGGGGGCCACCATCCTGCAGGGCTCCCAGGGATGCTGGGGGCACCCCGGGGATGTACCCCCCCCCCAGCAAGGCATGTTGGGGGGGGGCAGGATCCACACCTCCCCACCCTCCCGGGAAGATGTGGGGTGCTGGGTTGGGCAATGAGCATCACCGGGGCAGGGACAGCCCCACCAGAGCCCCCCAGCATGCCCCACGGCAGATTTTGGGGTGCCTCAGGGCAGGTAGTGGGGTCCCTCCCCAGCAAAGAGGGTCGGGGTGGGTGTTGGGTGCCCACCCATGGGAGGGGGGAGGCTTTGGGGTGCCCTGGCTCAGACCTGTCCCCGATGAAGAGGGTCCGGTTGACCTTGAGGATGCGCTGGATGTTGAGGCGCTGGGTGCTCCCCCCCTCGGGACCGGCCGGGCGGCTCGTCCCATGGCCCACGAAGACGGCGTAGTGCTTCACGTCTGGGGAGGACACATGGGGGGGGGGCACATGCTGCTCGGGCACACCCACCCACCCCCCTTCCCTCAGCCAGCCAGGGTGACCACCCTCACCCAGCCCTGCCCATGGGCCTTCACCCCAAAGCACCCAAAACCCCTTCCCATGGGTGCCCCCCCTCCTGCTTTCACCCCAAAACCCCCTCCCATGGGTGCCCCCCTCCTGCCTTCA